GGGGGGGTGTGAGTACCTTGACAAGTCGATCTAATAGATGAGCAGCACTTTGTACGTTGGCATCTGAATCAGCTGAAAGCTTACATAAGGCATCAAATATCTGGTTAAAGAAAACTATAAAATCCCCTCTAACAACCTGCACCAATAGAAGTACATTCAGCTTAGTCCCAAAAGCATATTAACAGATCTAATAATTTTTCTCACCTTTGCAATGTTGTATAGAGCTTCACATGCATAATATCGTACTCTGCTATCTTGATCAGAAAAAGAATTGAGCACAGGAGGTACAATTTGCTGAAAAGTTAATCACGTTAGACGGAAAAACTAGAACATGATAACATCGCCAAAATGGAAGAAAACAGGAAAAAAAAAAAAAGTCTGATTTATTTAGCAACGATACAAGTTATATATCAACAACAAGAACAAGCTCTTAAAATTGCACCACTTGAAGAGAGATAAGAAACAGATCAAGTTTCATATGCCATTCTCCCAAATTGTTATTCAGTATAGTCAGAATCTCTACAATTCAATAGTTTGAGGCTACAAGCAGTAGAGTTGGGATAACATATCCACCTAATAAACCAAGCACAATCTTTGTCGATAACATATCCATCTTCTAACAAATAAACTCTTCAAGTACATTTACTAAATACTTATTTATACCAAGTGACGGCAATAGCCTATGAGAAATCAGTGATGAACTACACTATAAAACTCAATTAAAAAATCGCCTAAGAAAATCTAACCTCGAGATGTTGGGACGCATCGGAAGTCAAGCCAACAGTTGCAGCTGCAAGTCCTATCAATCCTCCCTACAAAATGAAATTGGAAGTTTAAAATCAAGCAAATTCCAAAAAGTTTAAAATGATAATAAACCGAAATTTAATAATAATAAAATCAAGACTTCACAAGTGCACGAAGTCTCAAAGGCAAACCTGAACTATCAGAAGCATTCATTTTGGCATTCAGCTCATACCTTTCTATGATTCGCTTGAGGAGACATAGTGAATTCGTTGGTCAGCAGATTAATAACTGCCGTAATCCTCTCATGATCTCCAGCCGACGCAAGTTGCTTCACAACTCCCTCAACCTACAAGCGCAATGCAGCCCTTGAAAGATTACAGACAATGAAAACCCTAGAAATTTTAAATTGATGGAGCGGGTAGGGAAGTAGACCTCAAGAGCAGCGTTCTTCCGTTTCTCATAGAGTTTATCAGAGAGGTTTCGTAGCACAAATGCCGGCATGACAAAGTGAGCATCAGCCATATCAGACCCTAAGAGCACTGAACAAATTCAAGTGATCAAAGAATGGTATAGGGAAATATCAAATACGTTTTCGGAGCTTCTCCTGCTCGAATCGGAACATCGCTGCTCGGAAGTTTTCCCAATAATAAAATTGCAAAAAGAAGAACAAAAACCAATGAAATTAAACAGAACACCAACAATGGAAAGGGGCAATCGGGATTAGAACTCGGCCAAATTCCAAGGAATTAATAGTAAAAGTTGGCAACCCAAATCCAATCCAATCCAATCCGATAAAGACCCAAATTGAAAAAGAGAACAAAATATTAATAAAAATCAATTCCTCGTGAGGAGTTCTCTTCACATTTTGCCCCCTTTTTTTCTGGGTTCAGGGGACTGACTCATTTTATGCAAAGACTTTTCTTTTCCCTTTCTCTCTCTCTCTCTCTCTTTGTGTTCGCTACATGGCGTTGTTAGTGTAGGAGGAACCACACCGGTGGACACACAACTTAGGCCACTCTGCCTTGTCCATTCTTCACCCAACGGACCCAATCTCCTCAAGGCCTAATTTCATTTTGTTCCAATCTTTATTTTTATTTTTATTTCATCTGAATTCTACTGGTAATTTCTCTTACTCACCTAACTACATTTTAGACGGATCAAGTTTGAATCTTTACCCGTCTTGAATTCAAATAAAACAAAAAAGAAACTTTTGTTTAATAATTTATTTCAAGCTTCATTTATGCATTTATGATAAACAGTGTCATGCCTAAATGAATAAGCTTACTACCTTATTTGCTCCCTCAAAATTTAAAGAATTAAATTTATTCTTAGCTATAAAAAATGTATATATATAAACTCTATGCATTATTTTGTTTTTGTTTTTGTTTTTGTTTTTGTTTTTTTCTACCACGAATAAATATATACATGTGGATTCACAAAAAAATCAACCACCTACTTCTCATGATATGCACAACTACTCTCTTACTTTTTTTCTTTTTTTTTCTTTTTTTTTCTTTTTTTTGAAAAGGAAATGTGATCTTTCATTTTTACAGTGAATATTGGAAAAAAAAAACAAATTAGAAACATTTCAGGAGATACGTTTCATAGCCTTTTTATTTCCCTAAAATAAAATAAAATTCATTAAAAATAGGAAATAATTGGTAAATTTTATGCAGAATATTGCATCCCGTTAATGTGTTCAACGTTGAATCATGCACCCGCTATCCAGAACAAATTCCATAAATAAACTAACATGGACATGGGATGGTCCAATGCCTCGATATAACTCAGATAAATGGATGTTCGAAATGCTCCGATGATACGAACGATACATAGGTCTGTTCTCTTCTCGATGACCATGACTGAGTGAACTATGATGATTGATAACATTCGATGACTTGGGATAGCATCAAGACATGTGTGTCATGTTGATTGAAAACTAAGATAACATAATGAGACCCAACGTTACATTGAGAAACCTTGACCCCTGCAAGGGTGGCATGTGTGGCTGAACAAAGCTTGGATTTCGCATAAGTTATGTTCAATTGGCAAAGACGAACCTCGCTTAAGGTCCAACAAAGTCACAAGGACGGGCGAAAAATGAATACGAGGTTTGGGTTCTCCTCAAGGCTAAACATGAGCATGTCAAGATCACAATGGCATTTAGTTGAAAAAGAAATAGTCCAAAGAACTCATGGAGCAACGAAACACATTAACTCCAACGCCACGACGGTATCTCATTCTTATGGCAGTTCCTTCCCCACCAAGCAAGAAAGTGATCAATGAATTCTTAACTTAGGTTCGCAGTGGCAAGGAAATGAGAGCAATTTAATCTGAGCCGGTTGAATTGGATTCAGATAATAACGTTCCTCCTTGTAATTGTTACTTCATGGGTCATTTATGTTATGTTTGATAAATAATTTCAACGTTATATTTGATAAATAATTCAACTTTTAAGGTTAAAAAAAATAATAAGTCATTTAGTTTAGAATTTTTTTTTAAATTCATGAACATAAATAGACCCTAGTCTCTCAAACATTTTTTAATAAAAAAAAATGATAAAGACACAATTAAAATTGAATGATATTAAAAATGGATGGAGAGAATTTATTAGAGTACCAGTAAGACCACCGATTGGAGAGAGAAACGAAGAAACAAAATATTCTTTTGGAAACATGGAAAGGAGGAAAAGAAACATTTTTTACCTTATAAGGTGTGAAAACCCCTTCCCACTAAACACGTTTCAGACTATATTGGCTAACAATGGGCATATTACAAATGGTATCAGAGCGAGACACCAAACAAGATGCCAGCAAGATGCAGGCTCCAAGGGAGATGGATTGTGAAATCTCACATTCGTTGGAGAGAACAAAGCATCTCTTCTAAGTTCATAAGGACGTGGAAAGCTCTCTAGTAAACACATTTTAAAACTGTGAGACTGCCAAGGATACGTAATGGACAAAAACGGACAATATCCCCTAGCGGTAAGTTTAAACGGTTACAGTACTCCCCAAAAAAAAAAAAAAAAAAAAAAAAAAAAA